GTTCTTACAGCAAATACAGTACGGGGGTGGGGGGGGGATGCAGAGATCTATCAATAATTCAAAGGCTCTGAAGTAGGCTTTGAAGTAGTTCATGCAATGCTTAATTTAGCAAAAATTGTGATGCCAGAGATTTTGATCACAGTCCAGAAGTTTGCGGTAACAGCATGTGGTCTCTATTTCCTAAGGATTTGAGGATTTGAGATCCTGTTTGTGAGAGGAAATGACTCTTTTTCCATCCCACTTACCTGCAGCCAGTCAAGCATCATTGCCACACTGTGTCCCACCACTCTCGTGTTATTGACTGCATCTGTGTACAGCTGGTGAGCCAGGGGCAGCCAGTCAACAACCACTACGTTAGCATCCTTCTCTCTCATCTGCAAGGCTGATACGAGTTTATGCAGCCAGTTTTCAAACATGCCACTCATCTGCAAAGAAAACAGATTTTTTTTTCTTTTTATTCTCCTTCTGGACTTCAAAAATCCTAATGAGTATAGAATTCTATCCCATGATCTCCTCCCCATCTGATGAACCTTCACTTTGGTTCCTGGGAAGTGAAGATTTACACATGCACCTACTAGAGGCGGAATGGCTCCACGGCAGCTTTTTTCCATTGTTCTTCACATCTCCAGTCTTCCCATCAAATTTTAAAAAATATTTTTATTTAGTTACTTTTATTTGATGTCTATGAGTGTTTTGCCTGCACATATGTAAGTGTACCTGTGTTGTGCAATGCCTAGGAAGGCCAGAAGAAGGCATCAGATCCCCTGGAACTGGAGTTACAGACCAATATTAGCTGCCATATGGGTATTGGGAATCGAACCTGGATCCTCTGCAAGAGCAGTTAGTGTTCTTAAAAACTGAGCCATTGTTCCAGCTCCTCCCATCAAATTTTTCATAGCTGATGTGCCATGCTGTTGCCCTACTGTCTGTAAACCAGGTGTTGGTGGTAATACCAGCATGAGGTTAGTCTGAATCCCTGTCCCTATCAAGCAAATGGCCTGTCTGATCCATCTTCCAAAGAGAGCTAGGGAGGGTTGCCTTGGAGATCTAGCTCCTCCCTTAGAGATGCAAGGAGGCAGTGTCAATCAGGAAAACATAGAGTTAACAAATGACTCCTTCTCACAACCCATCTCTGCCATCCTCTTGACCCCAGAGTAAGAAAAATTCATCCCTGGAATCCCAAATTAGAACTCAGAACACATTTTCCCACAGAAATAAAGTTATAAATGGTGACTAGGAGCAGTTGTAAACCTATCCATACGTACATTGTCAAACAAATGGATTTTCTGGCTTAGCCTGGGAACCCGAACACTATTTACAATCTTGCCTTTATGGGAAACTGCCATTCCAAGTTCCAAACACATTACAAAAGAACTTTCTAGAATGCACTCTGTTTGTAAGTTGGAGGCAGTTAGCATTTGCATTTTGACAGAAGGGTCTTAAAAAAAATCAAATACATGATTCCAATTGTATTCTGAGGGATGAAGACAGATGGACAGGCCCACAGTCATCCCTTCTTTCACATTAGGAAGGTAGAATCTTACCCTCCCACTCCCAACCCTGACCCCAGCCGCTGGTGATAAACCTCAAGACCCAGAAAGAATGCAACAGATATGAATTTCTCATCTTTAAGAGGAAGAATGTCTCCTCCCAATTAGCCTAGGCAGAAACCTGCTCATTTAATAGTGCCATTTTCCTACAGACTGTCATTATATGAATGAATAAATCCCTTGCTGGCCAAGAGATTCTGAAGCTGAGTGTTAAAGCCCTTTTTTGTTGAAGTTTGCCATGGCCTTTCAATGGAAATTGCTCAGCTAGGGCACATAAAGAGCCCCAGTGCCTTCAAACGGGGCCATCTCTATGCAAACAGGAGGGCACCATGCCAACAGCAGCCAGCCAGCCAGGCCAGCTGGTCCCTCGGTTTCTCTAAGCCAGTCAAGTTGCTTCAGTTCAACTCCACTCTTACAGCAGGATAGGCTCCCTCCAGGCAGTGGTTGGCCAATGTAATTAAGCATAATTAGAGGTCCTTCAGAGCCAGTGGAGCTGGGCTGCTGCCCTCAGGATAGCCACCTTCTGAAAGCCCACTGCATGCCAGCACTAAATGCTACCCCACTGAGTCCAGATTGCCCCCTCAGCAAAGCGCCCATTACATTCTTCACAGCTGTCTAAAATACAAGCAGCCCACAAGGAAAGGGGGGAGAGGGTTTGGAACCTGGAAGCACCACCATTCTTTTTAATTGACCAAAACAAAAGGAACCAAATCTTGGATAAAGCTGCAGAGTTCCCTCCTGGGCTCACCGTCCATCCATGAATGATGAAAAAGGTTTTAGCTGTCATGTTGAAGCCACAGTCTTCTACTGGCTGGTTGTCCCCAACAGAAAGATAGCACCCTTCATGTTCTGGGTCCTTAGATGTGCGGAAGTTAAAAGTCACAGGAGGTTTGACTGTAGCCTGTACCCCACTGGGTTTGTGAAACTCATCTGGGGAGAAAGAACAGAGTATGAGTACTTCTGGTGCCTAGAGTAGAAAAGTTCTGGATCACATTCTAGCTCAATCTTGAGCCATCTAGATTTTAGGGTTTTTTTTGTTTTTGTTTTTTTAGATAGGGTCTCTCCCTGTAGCCTCAGCCAGCCTGGAACTCGCTATATAGACCAAGCTGGCCTTGATTCACAAGAGATTTGCCTGCCTCTGCCTCCCAAGTACTGGGACTACAGACATGCACCACTGTGCCAGGCTTAGACTGTAGTTTTTATGCTTACTAAATGTTTTCTCTTTGCCTTTTAAAAGAATCATGAAGAGGCCCAGAGAGATGGCTCAGCAGTTAAGAGCACTGACCACTCTTGCAGAGGACCTGGGCTCAATTCCCAGCACCCACATGATGGTTAACAACCATCTGTAGCTCCAGTTTCAGGGTATCCGACTTCTTCTTCTGACCTCCACAGGCAATGCATGACATAGGTGTACATACACACATGCAGACAATACACTCATACACATAAAAATTTTAAAAAAAGAATCATGAAGATATTATAAATCAGATATCTTGCCTATATTCAATGAGCATTAATTAGTCATTTATACTCATTTCTGTGGTCCTGAAATAAATAGCTGTTTCTCTTGCTTTTCTCTGTTCTTCCCTATCAAACTGACTAGTCCTTCCTTCCCTCCCTCAAGTTTCGACTTTTAGCGTATGGATTCTCTTTTTCCTGAAATGCTTAAAACCAATTGAGTTCTGAATTTAGAAATTTTCATATTTTAAAAAAAGCATTATAAGGCTGGGCGTGATGACACACACCTTTAGTCCCAGTACTCAGGAGGCAGAGGCAGGTGGATTTCTGTGAGTTCAAGACCAGCTTGGTCTACTACATAGTGAGTTCCAGACCAGCTGGGACTACAGGGAAACCCTGTCTCAAAAAGACTTTTTCAAAAAAAAGGCACTGTAGCCAGGCTCTCTCCAATCTCCTCTCTGTCCATACATGTATGTATACATACACACACACACACACACACACACACACACACTGGGCATGATGGTTCACATCTATGAGGGTTGTCACCAGGTTGGGCTACATGGCTAATTCCAGAGGGAGGGAAAGGGGGAGCAACAGCAAGAAGGTAAAAGCATGCATTATGAAATATATACCACATATTACACGATGCTCCTGTTGGAGTCTAGGGTATTCCCATGAATCAAATATACTAATATTCCTGCAGAGAAATACAGAACAACTCATAGCCCAGGGCACAAAATAAGGATTACAAATAACCTTCTGCCAACCCAGGTCAGGTTTGCCTGCCAGATAAGCTCAGATCAGGTAAGGTCAAATCTTGCTGCCATACAAGTTCCCAGCAAATTTTCCAGTTTAAAGAGATTTTGGGTTTTGCAATTGGAGGTAAGAGGCTGTTGACCCCGTCATACAAAAGGCTTTCCCCAGCATTCCCATTTTGATCCAGCCCTGACTTCAAGGACCTCATGTATCCTCTGAGCCCTTTACAGTGCTAACAGGAACCAGTGTGTCTCATGAATGACTGAAGCCATGGAAAAATTCCTCAGAGCAGCAAAGCTGTGCTTTCCAACTCTGCTGCTTCCACACAGTGCCACCTTTTCTGACTCCCACTGATGGTCCTATAGTCATGTAACACTAGATAGGCACTGTCATTGCTGCTGTACTTCCAACAACCATTCATTGATTCCTGCCAGCACTCATTCAACAATCCTCGTAAGCCTCCCTTGATCTCCCTTGATAAGGGATTAAGAAGATACAGTGTACTCTCCTGTTGCCCAGTAGTCACAGGGAGCTACCAAATGAGCATCCAGGAGCTTAATTTATCCCAAGTCAAGAAATAAAAGAAGGGAAACCCTGTCTCTAAAAAGAGGAGAGAAAGAGAGAGAGAGAGAGAGAGAGAGAGAGAGAGAGAGAGAGAGAGAAACTGAGTTCAGTGGCACAGGCCTATGATCCCAGATACTATGGAGACTGAGGAAGAGAATTGCAAGTTCAAGACCTGCCTAAGCTACAGAGTGAA